CAACCAAGGCTCACCCCAAGCCTTCAGAGACCACCACCACCACAATGATGGGATCAACATTAATTTCTAGCAACCAACCACTCAGGGACAAAACACAGCACCCTTGCTGCTGCCCCACTGGCAGGCTCAGCAAATACTTGAGGGCTCCAGCACTAACTTTACTTTCATGGTGGCCTCTTGGGAAGTCATTGGAGCCTGACTCCTGGGAGGGTGGTGGGCACAGTTCCACAGTGAGGACCTGAAGGCCCCATTTACAGGTGTCACTCGTCCCAGGGGCTTCTGTAGGCAAGGGCAGGTGGAATTTAACCACAGGTCCAGCCGACCAGTTGGATTCACTTACGGGCACATGTTAGCACCTTATACAGATATAGGTATTTCTCTTTACCTCTTGATATAAGCTGCACAAGTATAAGGGATAGCAGAGGGTACCCTAGCCCCGGCCTCAGTCCTGGGTCTGTAAGCAGAGCTGTTGCCTCTTGCTCCAGATGATCCTAATTCAGTTCCCACTGAACTGCCCCCATTGCCTGTGCTCTAGGGTGCCTGTTGTCAGACAGCCTGACTGTGTGGACTAAGCTCTTGAAAGGCGCTGCATTTGGGTACCAGCGACATTTCTGACTCTCAGGACTGCCTCTCCCTCTCTGTGCCTCAATGTCCTTCTCTGCAACGTGGTGACACCAACATAAACATTGCTGCCTCTAAGATCTTTCAGTCAGATGCTCTCTGGAAGTGTTGCAGGTTGTTGCTATTTCCAGGGCTATCGTTATAACACATTTTGGCTGCACTAATTCCCTCAGACAGAAATTGTTCTGCCCGTAGTAGACTGGGACAAAGCAGCCAATTAGTTGTCCCTTACACATTTATTAACTCTGCAGCTTTCTTTCAATGAGTATGTGGAATCTGGTAATGTTTTAATATATTTTCATAAACTGTGGGCACAACATGTCCTGTTTCAAGCTAATAACCATGCCATATAATTAGTCCTGATTACACAGATATTTAGTATCATTTTACATATTCCAATCCTTTCCTAGAGCCACTGCCTAGCCAAGGCATATTTAAAGCCACAGCCATCTCCCTCCTGTTTCCCAGCAGTTTGCAAGATTTTCTTTTGGGCAGGTTTGCAGTTAACATGACAGCTTCAAAGAACAGTTTCATTTCGCTGATGCACGTTTTATATATATATAGACAGGGTCTGATCAAATGTCAGGTGACAAAGCCCAGGATGCAAAGAAAAGGCATTTGTCTACTTACAGGGAAAAGCCGGCATTTGAAAGTTATTGGGAAATTAACAACATGAATCTTTAAAAATCTATTCCTTAAACATCTGTTGGCTTTGGCATTTATAATATTTAGGATTTCACTGCGAGGTAGCACTCCCCAGACAAAAGATCCCTCACCCCATTAGACTCTGGTGGGGGAATGCGAAAAATTTGCTCTGTGCAACCCGATTACAGATGTGTATCTTTCCCTGCTGGCATGGCTGTCTCTATAGAGATGGACATGGATATTTGATGAGATTAAAATGCTTCAGTTACCACTGTCAGTGGTTCTTTAGTTTAAAATGAAGAAAGCAACCAAACATTCCTTTTGATGAGGTAACTGAATGATGCTATGGAAAAGCACTTCGCTGTCAGGTGGTAATTAGGTTCAGTAATAGTTGTGGGTTTTTAGCCTTGGAGGCTGTGGCCCCTGGGAGTCTGAGAGAAATGATACATTCATTTTCCGGAGGAGTGGAAGATGCTGGATGCGTTTCTCTGCTAACCCTGCAGGTCTCTGCAGATAAGAGCATTCAGAACTGCAGCGCTGACAATCCTCCTTGAGCCAGCCTAAACTGTTGTGGCAAGATCACGAACAGAGAAAGGGAGATGGACTCAAAGCAGGGCATTCAAACACCTAACGCAGTCAGGCTGGCTCTGACCACATATACAGGGAACTGCCAGAATGGCTGCACTGAGAGGATTTTTAAAGGCTGCAGAAGGAACTCCAGCAGTTGCTCTACAGTCTGGGCTGATATTTGTTACATCCATCTTAAACATCACTACAAAATCTTCAGTAGGAAAGTGTTCCTTTGCAAACAAGCAACTGTTCCCACTGGTACTTTCTTAAGTGGGGGGGGGGAAAGGTGGGGAGAAGAAGGGAGTGAATTTCAAGGCTCAGCTGCCTCCCTTGCCAATTTGGAATTGGCTTTTCCACTGCAAAATATAAATTATATTTGGTTGTGATATTAAGAGTTGAAACCCAAATGAAACATTCCAATTGGCCCAAATGCATTTCATTGGAAATTTTGAGTTTGGAGGCACTATTGCTGTTTTCTCAGAACAGAGGCAAATTCTGAATATGGTGCCTGCCATGGAACAGGAGCTCTGGTTCCTGCTCTGCTCCGCTCCTCATGTTATTAAGCAGCTTTGCCTGTTCGTGCAATGACGGTTCTCAGCAAACGGTTCAGTGGTATCTGCCCTGCTCCTCACACAAGCTGCACTGCAGGGATTCAAGCTTGGGCATTTCAAACCCTCTGTCTTCCACACCTTTGTGCATTGCTCACCCGTGCCTTACTTCATGTCCAAAAAGACTTCCTTTTGGACAAACATCCACTGAACTGGTTGTAAAGCTGGAGTAAGGACTTACGGTGAGAGGGGATCCCCAGGTAAAGGGTCCCAATTGGACTGGCAGAAGGAACCTGCCATCTGGATGCCAGCACTGACAGGTCCAAGGGGAGATGAACCCTGCCTTTAGCACAGGGTTGGCAGTAATTTCCTGAAGCACTGAAAAAGTTTTCACTTCCAGAATTAAAATTTTTCATAATAAAGTGGGTCTGATTCTCCTCTCACTCTCAGGAGATAAATGAAGGGTAAGTCCATTAAAGATACTGGTGTGAGATTGGTGTACAGCAGACAGAATTCAGGAAAGATATCGATATCTCCAAAATCCTCTGAATATTTTTTCAGACATAAACCAGGTATCTTTCCTGATCATAAATGCTTTATTTCCGAATGGAATTTCAATAAAATAAGCACAGTTAGACTAGCATGCTTATTATAAAGCCATAATGCAGTAGCACTGAAGTTTAGTCATGAAAGGTATTAAAAAAGCAGCCCTCCCTGCTAAAGCAAGAGAAATTGCTTTCTGACCTACCGAGTTTTAGGAGTAGGTACTAGCGGTCTCTCCACCAAGGAGTTCAGCCTGTAGTAATCCAAGAACGTCCTGGCCACGTTTCTTCCAAGCTTCATATCTGTGAGTTTTTAATTAAGGAACACTTTTTGAAATAATTAAAAAAAAAAAAAAAAAAGCAGAGTCTAAAGGTAAATTACTGCTATTTGATGCATGAGCAAGTTTTACATTAACCATCCTACAGTGCTCAGGCTTCAGGCAAAATGACTTATGCAAGCAGATAAAGTGGGGGTCATCTTGTTTGCTTCTTGTTTTCACAGGCAGATGCTGCATAAAAACACAGACAGGAGAAAACAATCTCCCTTTCCCCCCAAGCCTGGTTGCAGGTCCCTGAGGTGGTCATGAAGTAATACACTAGACAAAAGGGGCCTTCCAATTCCCATGTTCAGGGAAAATAATTACCTAAAAATGCTTGGATACAGGCAGTATTTCTATGCTTGTATCCAGGAAACGAGGTCAGCAATGTCATGGCATGAACCAGCCATGGACCAGAGTACAAACTCAAGGTTGGGATCAAAGCTGTGGTCCTCCAAAGCTTTAGCACTGACCCCCACACTGTCCTGGGAGATTGTACTGTTCCTTAATTCCATTGTATTTGGACCTGAAATGGTGATTTCAGCACTGAACTGGAAGGACAGTAGATTACCTTAAGGAGGTCAGCAGTAACTCCGGGGGCTCTTCTCTCCTCACTAGCCAGGATTCCTCCTTCAGCTAACCCTGAGCCCAACGCTAGGCAGGTGCTGCACATCAGAGCTGCCACAGAGACCTTGCAGGCACAGGAACCAGACCTTCCTGAAGACTCAGTTACCTAAAAAGAAGCTGGATAACCTGTGAATGCATTGAAAAATGATATCCTAGACAGCATGTCTAGGGGGTCAATCTACTTGTGTGGAATGTCAGCACCAGGTCTGCCTGTCACAGAACAGTGCCTGCTTATCATCTACTGGGGGATGTCCAACTGGGAGAAATGCAGTCGATTCCATTATCCACAGCGGTATTACAGGGGATGAGGACTCCTTTATTTACCTATTTTGAACCGCTGCCTACCCACGCTACAATAAGCATACACTTCTCTAGGGCACTGCCCCAAATGGTCATCGTACCAGCTGTTTCAGGAGAGCTGATGCAGTAGCTGAGGTGGGTACGTAACCTGGGGAAATCTAAATACACCTCTGTGTGTGACACCCAGCAGTCCAGGAAAATAAACCGTTGCTGGGTTGTTTTGCGTGTGTGTTCTGCTTTATCAATAGTTATCGGCTGATGTTTCCATTAGAGGAAAATTCCAGAAGTGCACTGTCCCAGGGGCTTCCAGCAGCGCCTGTGGAGACACTAGCTTCTAAATGAAGCTTTTATTACCCGCCCACTTACATTAGACACATCAAAACAAGTGAGCATGAGACATCAGGTTCAGGCACCACTGTGAGATCTCTGTTTATCATTTATTTATTTATTTAAAGGGGAGGTCGAACTGATGTGACTCCGTCTTTAGCTTTAGTTCTGCAAAAAGCCAGCTACCAGCTCCGCTAGCGCTGTCGTCATGTCCCGTTCTAGCGGCTAAGGATGACTCCTGACACTGCTTTTCTCTCCAGTGATCTGGTCCCACTTTTCCAGTTCCCACTGCTGTGCCTGGGGATGGCTGCATGGCTCTACCCCTTCTGGTTTGGGCTCTATGCTGATATGCTCACTGAGATCCTTAATACCATATGTGCTGTGGGTATCTATATTCTTCTGCCCAACAGTACAGCACAGCCTGAACAGCTGGTGTTCACGGCTGTTGTCTGCGTGGACAGGGATAGTTGGTTGTGTGAAACAGCACCGGCTGTTTGACGGCTGCTGCAGTACCCAGTAAGCTCCCCTGCAGCCTGCCAGCGCTGACGGACGAGACTAATCGTACGTGCATGAAAGTTTGGAAAGTTGGAGACAGCTTAAAGTTTACCAATTTGA